AGAGTGAGGAGAAGAGTCCTCACGACAGAACACAGGATCAGTTCTAAACCAGGAGCATGTCTAGTGTTAAGTCTGGAGGAGGAGGTGGTGTTTGCAGATGGAGGTACCTGTGTGGGCAAGGAGAGTGTGGAACAGAGCAGGAGGGAAGACCCTGGAGTGAAAGACGGTAATGAAGAAAGGCAAGGTTGGCAATAACTAATTATAACGGAGAAAAATTATACAGAAAAGGTACAGGTAGTTCAATGGAAGTCAGAGACCAAAACATAACAGAGTCCAGTGTGTAGTTGTGGGATTCCCTAAAAAGATGCCCGCTGTCTGGATGCAGATGTGGAACATGCCCCCAAATATTAGTGTGTACTTCATCCCATTTTCTGAGAATGGTGGAACTCAATGCTGTGTTCCAAAAATTATTCTGAGGTTTTTCATACTAATTTTATTTAGAAAAACAAATTATCTCTCAAAAGTTTCTTCTTTTTCTCATCTTCTTCCCTTTTTTTTTAAACTCAGGTTTTAAGTAGTTGCTGAGGTGATTTGGGTCATCAGCATTGAAAATGAGCCCAATCTTGTTGCTTTGCTTAGCATTTGAGGAGGAAGAGGGTAAGGCAAAGAAGTTTCAAGTAACAGTGATAAAGATAGGCTATATTTGGTGGGTCTCTATTGCACAAAGAAGGAAAAGCTAACTAGAAATCAAGTTTTCAAAGTCTAACCAGAGGCCATATAAAACGTATCTAAGAACCTATCGGTGAAAATTCCAACCATCTAAGACGGTTGCTTTCTTTCAGAATGAACTAGTTAAAAAAAAAATCTGGCAGAAGGCCATTGGTTGAGACCAAAGAGGATTTAGTGGAGTGTGGGTAGAATGCGAGGCTGGGGATTTCAGAGCTTGGCTGATGATCAAGTCCCTAGAACCGAGCCAAAACAAACACAGCCCCGAGGCAGAATGAAGGTGGGGGCTTCAGGTTGTAGAAGTCCAAGGGGCAGCTGGTTTTAACATGAATTCTTTTCTTCTTAAAATTTACAGGTCCCCTGGGTGGCTGCCTGGGTTTGGCAGACTAAGGCTGTAATTTTCTTTCTCTAGAAAGGGCTACAAAACTGTCATCCTGTATTTGACTCATTGACTGGTAACTGGTCCTAAATTTCCCAACTATACTTGATTATAGAGAGTCTTGTGAAAGAATGTGACTATTCAAATTCAGTGGTATATACTGAATTTTTATTAACAAGGGTCAATTGCTTTTTACTTTGTTACCTTTGGACCTTATATCCACTCCAAAAAATAAAACCCACTGTCCTAGATATTCCCAAAATAATGAGAGCATTGCACCTCTCAATTTGGAGATCTCTGTTAATAGCTTGTCAATAAGAAGATTCATGTAGGAGGCTTATGATATCTCTTCAATTATTTTAATATTAATTTTCTGGCCATTAGACTCGAAACTAAATTTTAAAAAGTTTGAAGGGTCTCTGACTTCTCCACAAATGACAACCAGGAAGAGCACAAGGCCATGAATGGTAAGTAGACTCATGTGGAGAAAAAAAACAAGTTCCTTTCAATCTAAGAATTTGCACTGAGTTTCAAAGAAAGGAACTTAACCATCTGTTAGCCATAAAACAGTTAAGACCTTCAAAATCCTCTTCCCATACTAAAACATAAGATCATATTTTATACCTGATCCTAGCCCAAAGGCCAAGCTACATGAGATCATATTTTAAAGGCACTAATAAATCTTTGTAGCAAACTACAGGGTATTCCTTGAGCTCCATGGATCCACTAGTTTCTGTGAGAGGGAGGTTGTCATAGTTAGGGTTTCTATTGCTGTGATAAAACTCTGACCTGAAACAACTTGGGAAAGAATGGGTTTGTTTCAGCTTACGCTTAGACTTGAGAGTCCATCATCAAAGGAAGTCAGGGCCGGAACTCAGAGTAGGAACCCGGAAGCAGGAACTAATGCAGAGGCCATGGAGGAATGCTGCTTAACTGGCTTGCTCAGTCTGCTTTCTTATAGCACCCAGGACCACCACCAGCCCAGAGTGGCACTATCCACTGTGACCTGGGCCCTCCCAAATCAATCATCAATTTAAAAATGCCCTACAGACTTGCCTTCTGGCCAATTCTATGGACGCATTTTCTCAATTGAAATTACCTCTTCCCAAATGACTCAAGATTACATCAAGTTGACATAAAACTATCAAACACAGAGGTTCTAGCCACATAAACTGTGTAGGGAAAGGACCCAAGAGCCTATGACATGTCAAGACTCACAGTTAAACAGCTGAACAAAACAGAGTTTTGTGGCTCAAAATGAAGGAAACATGATTGGCAAGCTAAACACTCAAAGGGAAAAGAAAGATTCATTAACATGAAGGAGAAAACCTAACATGTCTTGAAAATTACTTGGGAACTAAGCTGGCTGAAGAGAAATGAACTGGTGTTAGTTCAGGAACAGCACAGGTCATGCAGCGTAAGAGTTCCAGAGCTCTGCCATACAGCAGTGTGCATGGCTAACAATGTTGTGTTGTGATTCCACATTTTTATGAGGTAGTTTTCATGTCATATGTGTTTTACATCACAAATGGATGTGAAGGGGGAGGAGGGAGGAGCTACGCTGGGAGGAATTATAGTCTTCCAAAACAGGCTTTAAAAAACATATCAAACAGATACCTGCCTTCAAATGCATCTACTGTTTAGTACGTGAAATAGCAGAGCCAAGAGGAAAAATTCAGTTCTGAGAGATGTCTTTGTTCATTCTGGCCATTATTCTAAAAAAACAGCTGGAAGTTACTTCTTGTGGTTCAAGGGGCATGCTGAGATGCGGGCACTGGCAAATTAAGTGTGTGGTCAGGGCAAGTTTTAGTATGTGTTTCTCTGTCTCCACATGGGGGACAAACACCAATGAATTCCCATGGGCCTGTTTTGGAAGACTATAATTCTGAATTCACGAGGATTCTCTACCCCCTCTAGTCACTTCCCAAAATCCAGCCTTCCAGTGTAAGCATGAGAAGGTTTAGACGTCAACCTATGAGTTGATAAGGGTGCAGAACACAAGCATTCGCATCTTATGAAGAGACAGGACTGTGACAGAGGCCCAGGCTAGAATGGAAGCAATTGGGGGATATCCTGTGGTAACTGGGAGTGTCAGGAAAGATTTCCAGAACAGATGACATGGGAGCTTGACTGTAGCGTGATTGATTGACTGTAGGGTGATTGATCCTTCCTTCATGTGATTTATAACAGAAGTGTGTAATTGAAGGGTAGAGGAGAGGGAGATTGTAAAAAGCATCTACCAGAGGGAAAAGAACATGGCAAAGAGGCCTTCAGGTAACCAAGGCAAGGCCAGAAGCACATAGTTTCCCCAAACATTAAGGTATCTGGGTTAGGTCAGAGGATGCAAAATGGACTAACAGACCTGGGAAAGTAGGTAGGTAGGAATCATGTGATGTCTGGCTATAAGGTTATCAACTTGGCTGGTGGATGGTTGGACAAACACGGAATAGTTGGAGGCTGGCCCTGCTGAACTAACCTAGTTATTTCAGTAGCCCCCTGGAGGGTTTTTACAGCCCACATCACTATCCAGAGAACTGAGTCCCAGCCTCAGCAGAGCTTAAGAAGCCTAGACTGAGTCTGTGGAGGCGTTATTCCTCCAGGAAGGCCGACCGAGATCAAGCAATAATAATGAAAGACAAGGCCGACCGAGATCAAGCAATAATAATGAAAGACAAGGCCGACCGAGATCAAGCAATACTAATGAAAGGCTGGAGTGCACCAAGGCCTTGAGAGACCCGAGAAAACCTATCAAATCTGTCATGAAGAAGGTGACTGGCTGCTTTCTGGGATGAGAAGAGGAGAAAGTGAACTGCAGAGAACACATTCTCTAGAACAATTCCAACTTAAGTTGCTAGTTAAAACTTGAGGCACTTAGCCAAGTGAGATTCTTATGCAGACTACAGAACTCCAGTCCCCTGGGTTCCCTAACAAAGCAGAGAAAGTGGCACCGATTTCAGGCTGTCTGGGGGTGACTTGTTGAATGAGCATTAAAATCAATCATACCATATAATTCTTGCTGAATTGTAGAAACTCTGTCTGTGGGCAGCAAAAAAAATTAATGGTTAAGAAAATCAATTTAATCACCAGGACTTTCCCATTGAAATATTATAAAATTGATAACAGGGATTAAGAAAAGATGCTCTTCCAGTTAACTTGGAAATAGATAGCACAGGATAGACCAGGACAGCACAGGATAGACCAGGACAGGATAAGAGAGGATAGAAGGAAGGGAGGGAGGGAGGAAAGAAAAAACAATAGATAAGTAATCCTTATACATATTAATAGTATATACAACATATTAATAACATAATCTGTTTATCAATAGCATGTATTAATCATATATGCTAATTAACATTACACACACACACACACACACACACACACACACACACACACACACACACAAAGCCAAGCATGGTCCTGCCTGTGATTCTAGTACTTAATTAGTTATCTAACTCTACTCAGAATCAGAAACCATCTTGAGCTACCACAATGACATCCTTTCTCAAAAAAAAATTTTTTTTTTGAAATGAATGGTAAGTAAAAGGAGATTAGGAGAGTACTATGGGAAGTAACTTTTGGTTAATCTGTATGTACACAAACATACTGAGCTATGATATCACACACACACACAGGTTTTTGTTTGGTTGTTTGGTTTTGGTGTTTGTTTGTTTGTTTGTTTGTTTGTTTGTTTTTTCGAGACAGGGTTTCTCTGTGTAGCTTTGCGCCTTTCCTGGATCTCGCTCTGTAGACCAGGCTGGCCTCGAACTCACAGAGATCCTCCTGCCTCTGCCTCCCGAGTGCTGGGATTAAAGGCGTGCACCACCACCGCCCGGCACACACACAGTTTTTTACCGTCAATCCTGGCACAAAGTTTGAAAAACACTAACTCAGAATATCCCACAGGCTGTTTATTATATTTGAACCCTGACTTTAGTTTAAATTTTTGTTTCAGAAAGTAAAGATAGCACACAGTCCAGTATAGGCCAGGATGAAGAGAAAGAGCAAGCTGTGTCAGACGGTGAGTCTGCAGAACTGGGGACAATTTCGGGGATGCTCACGGTCAGGGCCCACACTCCTGTTGTAGAGCATGAGATGGTGGTAAAAAGGCTTCAACAACTCGGTTTTCCCCATGAACACTTTGAGAAAGGGGATGAAATCATCCACAACTGCTTTCTTACCGACACGGCTTTTGTGTCGGACCTCAAACTCCCAAGACGCTTCAGCTCAGTCCTGGCCCCGAATGTATTACCCTCTCTACTTTTCTCCACTTAACTCTCCTTTACAAAGCCTAAAATAGCCAACAGGGCAAAAGGGAATCCTCTTCAGAAGGCCCTGAGAGGGGAAGCCTGAGAGACCCAAGTGAAAAATCTCTCTGACACTGAGAACTTTGTTCTCAGTGGTGGAATCATGGAGCGGTGGGGAAACCTTGAGAATACCGATACAGAAGCAAGTATGTTTTCTAAGTCTGCATACACAGAACATGTATGAAATAATAATCTAGTGTGCTTCCATTTTTACCATTCTCTTACCTGCATCCCTTTGTGTAGAAGGAAGCTGGGCATCACTGAGCAGTCACCCAGTGACTTACATTGTGAGGCCAGCATTCAGGGGAGGTTACAGAGAGTTTTAACAGAGTTATCTGTCTGGACAGCTGCTTGCTCTATTGCACATGGAGCCAGGAAATGCTGAAGTCTTAAACTGAGACTCCATACAGATGTGACCTCACATCTTGCAGCTGCTAATGGAGCAAGGCCACCAGGGAAGTGCCCAGGAGGAAGGAAGGAGATGGGAGAAAAGGAGAATGGCCAAAAGTCCACATGTTTTAAATGCTAATTCTTTGGGTTCTCTACTGGCTGCAGAGCATTTTTCAGGTCTGAGTTATCAGCCCATCTCTGAAAAGTTATCAAGTCAAGAAATCACAAATGGTAGACAGTAGACAAAGCATTAATACGTTCTTCTTTTTCTACAAATGGAATTGGTTAGTGTTGGACCCCAAAGTTTAGGGTCTCAAGTGGGCGCCCCAAGAACCCAGACTCCAGTCCAGCTGATGCAACAGCATGAGGATTTTATTAAGCTTCTATATAGAAGGGCAAACTCTGCTCCTAAGAGCAAGAGCCGCATCTTACTGCATCCCCATAAGGGCTTAGAAAGGAAAAATCCACAAAACACATAAGATTACAATTCCCATACAATTTCGTTTCACAAGATCATGGTCTGATCACAGAGTGGGTACAGTCACGTCCCCATGTACATTCTTCCTGAAACCTCAAGGGGGGATATCAGGGCGGGAGTGGAGTTTACACACAGGTCACGGTGGTCCTTCCTGGAACACCTGCAACTATCCCAGTCACAGTGGAGCACATCTCTTAACAGAAATCTCTATACATTGTTATATGGTTGCAGGGGAGATTGAACAATGGATAAGTCAGGTTGCCCTTGGAACTAGATTTTCAGTTTCTCATTTCCTGGTGCTTGAAGTTTCTCCTTTCCTGAGGCTTGGGGGTGTAAGCCTGAAGGGCTAGGGTCTTTCAGTTAGTAGATGATCAGGGTTCCATGCAGTACGATTCTCTCCCAATAATTGCCCCCAAGGGCACAGTGCAGAGATTCAGCCTGGCCTTCTCGTTTAGGAACCACTGCACTTTAACAACCAAAGCTATGATGGGAAGAGTCTGTTCTTTCCCCAGGATGAGTGACAGAGGGAGCTAGGAGATGTGTTCAGCCCTGTGAGTTCTCTTTGCCAAAGCATTTAACTGAGTTCTCCCCAAGAACTCCCTATTTCTTAGGAAAACAAGTTGATAAGGATTTCTTTGTGGCTGCCCAGTCAGGGCGTTCACTCGCAGGATGGTATTTATACATCCAGCAAACACAGACCACTGCACTTGGTATTCTGACAATGCACAACATGATGATGGGCTTTGGAATGAGCTGGCTGCAGAGGACGAGAATTGGTACACTGAGGCAGGGAAAGGCCCAGAGATGAAAATGAGAAGGCTGTAGCTACACACATGCTTCAGAATGAGGAGAAAAGGCAGAGTCACACACAGAAATAGCCAAGTCAGGAAGGAAGCCAGAATTTACACTACCACGTGGCAATGGTTAATGAGGGTCTGGTGGCTTTCTGTCACCACGGAATCTGTCCCACACATGCCTCCTCTCAGCCGCTGAGCCAAACGGGATGCAGGAACCCTTTGGATGGCACAAACAGAAGTTACTGGTGCATTCTAGAGAAACTTACGCATTTCCATGTTTTCTCCCCTTTACAGACTCTGAGGGAAAATTTGAGGACCACCAATAGCTCCAGCCAGATCAAATATGAAGGAATTGAAATTGTAAGAAGTAAAGACCCCTGAGTATCCGCATTTAGAGAGGAGCAACTGAAACAGCAATTAACAGCCCCAAAGTCCCAATGTCATCACTGTATTGCCGGCATCGAATCCCGTTTTTGTTGATTATTGCATGTCCCCCCAAACAAGTGGATGCTTGTCGCTGTTTTAAATATCTTAACATAGTGATGTCAATCATTGTGTCTTTGCCTGGACATCACCTGCTCCCTTCCACCTGACCATCCTGGCACTCACTCTGTAGACCAGGCTGCCCTCAAACTCACAGAGATCTGCCTGCCTCTGCCTCCCGAGTGCTGGGATAAAAGGTGTGCGCCACTATGCCTGGCTTCCACCTGCATTTATTATCGTGGTATGGGTAGAAGCAAGGCAGAAGCATCTGAAACGCCCTGAATTTCCAGAAAGCAATTTGTACCCTAAAAGCTACTTTCTTAAGACACAAAGGCCATGCTTGCTCTCATCCTTAACACTGTGCCTCAACTGGTTGGTCCAGAACTAAAAAGAACATAGTCATCCATTTATTCTCCTCTCCTGTCCTCTCCCTTTCTTTCTTCCCCCACCCCCTCCACATATAGATATCTCCATCCCTCCACATACTAACAAATTTAGCCAACACAAAAAGATGAGTAGTTGGCATCTGGGTCTAGTCAATAGTGGTGAACTGGAAAGACTACAAAATCCATGAGATCTTCTGGGCTAGTCGGGTCACCCACCTTCCAAAAACCCCAGATGTGGGCCGTTTTTCTTCAGAAATATTTGGTATTTCCAAGTTTTTGCAAAGTATCTTTGCAACACATTACATAGTTTGGTTAATATTGACTAACTAAGCTTCTATTACTTGACACATGATACGGTCTGAATAAATGGAATTTTGTAGAAAAAGCAGATTTTCACAGAATCACACCATATAAGTAAAAATGGCGATCTTTTCTTAAAACGATACTGCTCAACTCGATGTTCTCATACATCTTCAACATTCGTCGGACCTTATACAAATGTTGCTTAGGAACTCATGAAAGCCCAGGAGACTGGTGAAACACTACAACCTTCTGTGCCTTTTGAAAAAGAAGCTTTTAAGGTACAAGTTGCTTTCTGGAAATTCAGGGCATTTCAGATGCTTCTGCCTTGCTTCCATACCACGATAATAAATGCATAAATAAATGGATAAGTTCCAAACACGACTGGCTTGCTTGCTTCCAACGTCAGCACATTTTCTGGTGCTCTGTATGAATGGCCTGATTCTGAATCAAGAGCAGAGGCTTGTGATCCTCTCCCCACCTGTCTGCATGGGATGATCAGCTAAAAGAGGGGGACCACAAAGAACAATAATTAGACGGATGTCGCACACATGGGTGTATGCATGTTGTTCCTTAACATGCAGAGCCCATCCCTGGTGAAACTGGATTATACTGAGAAATGAATCTGGGGCCAAGAAAATGTGTCTTCAGCCCAAACAAAACTTCCTGCATCCCCTTAAATCAACTCTTTTACTAACAGCACACATTGCAAGGTGGAGATGCTGGAAGAGTGAATATAAACCATAGATACACACCACCTTCCAGTGTAGTGGCCCGGACAGTTATTGATTGCCTCCCCGCCCCCGTGGATTGTAAGCTCTGGCCAGTCATATAATTAGCTGCTTCTCCTACTGGTGAATACCCAAGGAGCTAGAGAGAAGCAAAGGCAGAAATTTCTCCTCTTAAGGGCACAGTCAGCCACATTCTTAGCATGAGTATAAACTATGTCCTGTCTTTGGACCAGTATAGCATGTTCTGGAATAGAGTCCCATATGTGAGTAAACCAACTTAACTTTAATCACTGTATATTACCACACATTTGCCCCAGTTGTAAGCTATAGATTATACTGGGAGGAAAGTATTAGTATTTGCTACTTATTCAAAGGTAGTGCTTCACATCCCCCTTCAGGGAGATTCAGTTTTTCAACTGATGCTTAGTTCTTATAGTAGCCTAATATATAATAGGCCGACTTGGGAAATCTCACATCTGTTTTTTGCTATTAGAAAGAGCATTAATGCAAGATTATTAAAAAATAATTTTCTCGCTGTTGTTAAAGCTGAAATGGTAAGGGCACAAGAGAGGTATATTCAATGTATTCAATAAAAAAGCTAGAACATGTCGATGGGAAGAGCATTATGTAAGTAATTACTGAGCCCAGTGGTCAAAGTCCTTGACCTTTAGAAGGCACTGCTAGTTACCCTCCTCAGAGTCTGCCTCCATCCTCTTAGCTAACAAAATTCTGCTTTTGCTAAAATAACCAATCAGCCCAACACCAGGCTATGACTATTGATCTAGTCCTGCTTGACAGTGATTGGTCTAGGGGTAGTCATATGACCAAGTTTTGAACGATGCTATATAGGGACAAGTCTTCTGGAAATCTGGGGGCAAAGCCTTTACTTCCTTTTCTCCTAAAAGGCTGTCCTATCAAGACGCAGTGCCTACATTACTGGCAGCGATTTGTGAACACGAGGAGAGACGTCACTAGACTAATAAGATGATAATAATAAGCAATGCAAAATGTAGGGGAAATCCTGGCCACGGTGAGCACCAAGAGCTCAGCCTGAGACCAGTTTGAAACTTTGATGATATAATAGACTCTGTGGCTTAAACTCCTGTAGGTTGGGGATTTCTATTACTAATAGATAACTTCTGTATAAAGCTATATACACATCCATATAACTTGGTAGAGAAATAGCTTTCAAGTGCGTGATTTAGAGGAATTTTAAAAATGTATTTAAATAATTTAAACAAATCACTTTTCCCACTTAACCAGGCTTAAAGCCTGGGTTGTCTCAGTTCTTAATAATTTCCCCAATCCCAGCCAGCAAATATCAACAAGATACATCAATACTATACCAGTAGTTTTTGTTATTGTTTTGTTTTACATTAGCACCAATTGAACCCACCCATTAAAACGGATTTCCAGCTAGGCATGGTGGCACGCACCTGTAATCCCAGCACTCAGGAGGTGGAGGCAAGAAAATCAGGAATTCAGGGCCAAAGCTCAGCTACACAGCAAGTTCAAGGCCAGCCTGGCTACCTGAGACCTTGTCTCAATCAAATAGGAAACAGACCAACAAAGACCACTGAGTCTATGATAACCAATGGTTTCAGGTGGAGCCGGAGAATCTGCATTTTCATGCATTTCCAGGTGCTGCTGTTGCTTTGAGGACCACACTTTGATAACCACTGTCCTAGGCTGGCTGGGCAGTCAACTAAACAAGCCATTCCTTGAACTCATTCCATGCACACCCATACCCCAGACTCTCTTGTCTGGATTTCATATCCTGACTACAAGATTCTTATCTAATCTGGTAAAACATTTCAGGATTTCTTCATGCCATCACCATCCAACCAGTCTTCACTGCCCAATGGCGCCTCCACTTCTTGCTACTTCTTGCATAGCGTCTTCCTTTTCTGGGGTCCCACAAATCTGTGTTATTGGGGTCTCTCTAGGCTTAACAGTCTTCTGGCTTAATAACACTTTTTTGTTTGTTTGTTTGTTTAATGGAGATGAGAATTGTGAGCCTCCACAAGACCAAGTGAAGAAAGGTCATACATAACCATCAACTTGCTCATTTTCTGGCCTTACAGTGAACATCTTTAACTCGGAGATGGTCCTGGCCCGGAGCTGCACGCTTTCTGGGGCTGCAGAGGACACAGAAAGGTTACCCAAGCTTGCAAGCTGAGCTGCTGGCAGCAAACTCGGAACCTCCCAATGTGAGCATCTGCTCTGCCCTCTCTCATTAACTTTTTTTTCTGGGCAGAAATGAGGAGCCCAGAGAGATATCTAATCACAAGTCTCTCGCTTTGCTGGTACAGAGATGCATGGTCTTCACCAAAGGTGCCACTGGCCAGGCTTTTGAGGAATGCACTCAGACTCCTCTCTTCCTGTACGTATGCTGCCTATGTCTGCAAAAGAGGCCATAAATTCTAACATATCCTGCTCAATAACAATGTATATTAGTCACTCTCAAACAATGCTACCAAATCAACTTTCATACACACTCAAGATTCCATCTGCATTTGCAAAATCTTAATAATGAATTCTCAGTATCTGTGGCCTAGTTACTCTCTATTGCTGTGATAAGACACTATGACCAAAGCCACTTACAGAAGAAAGCATTTCTTTGGCACTTAACAGTTCAGAGTGCGAGTCTATGTTGATGATAATGGAGAGCGTGGCAACAGGCAGGCAGGCAGGCATAGCATTAGAACAGCATCTAAGCATACATCTTAATTCCACATGCATGAGGCAGAGAGACAGAGCTAACGAGGAATAGTGTGAGCTATTCAAAGTACCCCCCAGTGACACATCTCCTCCAACAAGGCCACTCCTCCTAATCCTTCCTAAACAGTTCCGCCAACTGGGGATCAAGTATTCAAACGTATGAGACTATAGGGCCATTCTCCTTCAGACCACCACACTGTGGATTTGGCGTGGTTTGTCCCACAGAGGTTCCTTTGTTTCCTGTGTGGCAGTGTTAATGACTGATGAGAGTTTCAACCGGTAGATTCCAGATGTGAAGTCCATTGAAATCACTGCCCTCAGGAAAGATTAAGGTAGTTATGTAGGGCTCAGAACTAATTATAAAAAGAACAAGATTTGAATCTAATGCGGCTTCCTGTCTTACCAGGTAAGCCCTCCCTCCTGCATGTTCCTCCCTTCATAGTGCCATCTGCCATGATATGGTACAGCCATGAAGATCCTCACCGGAGCTGTCACTGTACTATTTAGACCTTAAGCCTCAAAACTTCACCACAGTTTGGGTGGCTGTAAATCATGTGCCTGCACACACACACACACACACACACACACACACACACACACACACACACAAGAGTGTAGGACCCAGGATTAAAAGCACACAGTCACAGCTACCTGATTTTGGGCAAAAATATGAAAAACATGCATTGGAGAAAAGCTTCTTTTCTTCAAGAAATGCTGTCAGAAAAACTGATATCCATGTGTAGAAGAGCGAAACTACATCCTATGTCTTACACCCTGTACAAATGGTCATTCAAAATGAGTCAAAGACCTTAATGTGAGACATGAACCCTGAGATTGCTAGGGGAAAACACAGAAACGCTACCAGATACAAGCACAGGCAAGGACTCTCTGACCGTTCAAGGTGAAATCTAGAATTGACAAATGGTGGTGCATGGAATTCCAAACGTTCTAAACAACAAGGAACAATCATTTAGTGAAGAAATAACCCCCAGAGCAGGGGGAAGTCTCCACTATCTGGGAGAAGGTTAATATCTAGAATATATGAAGAACTCAAAAAACTAAATATCAATAAAGCTAAGCAGTCATGTCAATGAATGGGCTAGTGAAAAGAACAGTTTTGTTTTGTTTTTTGGGTTGTTTTTTTTTTTTTTTTTTTTTTTTTTTTTTTTTTTTCGAAAAAGGGTTTCCCTGTGTAGCTTTGTGCCTTTCCTGGAACTCACTTGGTAGCCCAGGCTGGCCTCGAACTCACAGAGATCCGCCTGCCTCTACCTCCCGAGTGCTGGGATTAAAGGCGTGCGCCACCACCACCCAGCGAAAAGAACAGTTCTTAAAATATGAAGTATAAATGGCCCAGAAATATTTAAAAAATGTTCAACATCATTGGCCATTAAAGAAATGGAAAGAAAAACTACATTGAGGAGTTTTCTTTTCTCAGTCAGAATGGCAGCCATTAAAAACAACAGATGCTAGTGAGGAAGCAGAGAAAGAGGAACCTTACACACTGCTAATAGAAATGTAAATTACTCAATCCACTATGGATATCAGTGTGGAAGTCCCTGGCGGGGGGGGGGGGACACTAAATGTAGAGCTACTGTATGACTCTGCTGTATGACTCCTGGGTGTTTGCCCAAAGGACTCTGAATCAACATACCTGAGAGATCCTTGCATATCCATGTTGACCTCAGCACTATTCACAATAACCAAAATAAGGAATTGGTCCAGGGGTCTGCGAGTGGATAAAGACTATTTAGCTTGTATATGTAATGAAGTTTATTCAACCCCCAAAGAAAAAATAAAATCGCAGCATTTGCAGGAAAGTAGATGGAACAGGAAACTTTATGTGGAGCAATAAGCTGGGATTAGGAAGACACATGTCCATGCTTTTCCTCATGTATAGAACCTAGATTTCAGTATGTGTGTGTAGGTTAT